AGAGCCGAAGACCCACAGAGTAGTGTATAACCACACTCACAGCCTAAAACTTTTCCAATCAACATCTGTAGGAATCGCTTGCAATTCCACACTTATATTTCAGAGGGAAAACTTCCTAGAATTGCATACATCCCGACACACTGACCCGAATACTCAGACTTGAACTTGCTTAAATCCCAAGGAGACTCGACTACTCAGGACATCCAAGCCGAATACACACAACTCCTGATGCGGTAACTTTGACAAACAGGAGCGCACCGTGCTCAATGTCTGGATCACACACCAGCACACTGACACAGTGGATACAAGTTTACAGTCAAGACAAGCCAACTGACAAAAAAGTCCCCCAAGAAAAGAGACTTTGGTCTCTTTATTCACAATGGCAACTCTGGAATATCAACCGCTTGAGGCGAATTGGTCTCAGGGGCTGTGCCGTCCGATGTAGCAGTTACGGCGTCATCTGAACTACAACCTCCGGGCTGACTCTCACTCAGGTTTACCTCTGATGGCTTTTTGATAGCGCATCATGGTTTTAGAAGACTATGATTCATCCTCACACTCATGTCCCAAACACCTTCTTTCACAAACTCTCCATGTATCACTCCAACTCACACACAACTCTCCTCTCATCACTATCGTCACATATACGCAAACACACGTTGATACTCCAAGATACTCAAAAACTTCACTCCTTCATTCCTGAAACAAGTCCTCACACATGACTCTCCAAACTTGCTTGAGAGGTAATACTCTATCTCTCTATTTATACCATATATTTAGTCTTACCATATATATCAGTCTTACCATAGTAACATGTGGTAATTTCTCCTAACTTACTTTTACCTAGGTAAGTTTGACTAACCCTCTCTATGTGGCAACATGCCATTGGCCTAGCTAAACCTTCTAGAAGTTTCCGGAATCCAAGGTTGAGCTGGCGACATGCCATTGGAAACTTTTAAACCTCTACAAGCTTCTTAGCCACTAAGTCAACACTAGACTTAATCTAACCAATCATCTTTCATACATTTTAGTCTAACAAATCAAATCCAAGCTTTAAGTCAAATATCTAATCCCTTGGAATCTAGCACTTTTGTATAAGACAATTTAGAAGTGCTCACTCCTTGTAAAAGACAAAAAAGAAGTGCTCACTCCACTCTTCTAGAACTCCACTACTTAATCCGCCAACTATAGAAATTATAGCTAAACTTAGTCATGACTAGATAAATTTAGTTGTAACTATCTAGTTTAGTCATAACTAGCTAGACTTAGCTATGCCTTGGCTAATCGTACTTAATCACTTGACCACTTCTAGGACTTAGTACATATGTGCAACACCCGGTCTTACATAACTTACATCTACTCCTAGCCTACGAAACACGTTTACAATCTCTACATCTACAATCTGGCGCGCCTCATTCAATTTCTCTGAAAATGTGTTAACTAACTCTACAATCTGTTTGTGTCCGACGGTTCCGTTGGTCTTGGCGCTCATCAACCGTCATTCGAACGAATCTAACTTCAGCCACTTCACCGTTTGCAATCCCCACATCGCAAACCCGTTTAGACACTTCTCCAACCGCAACTTCAATCCATCGGTTGTCTCGTCCTGCAGATGACGGTAGGCCTCCTCTGCCTTTTCCATTCTCCTGTGCGACTCTTGCGATCTCATGTCTGCCTTATCAAACTGCTCCCGCAACCGTCGACATTCTGATTCAACCTTCAAGTTACATTTGAGCTCTGAAGGTCTGGCTGATTCACAATCTGTCAATTTCTAGGCCCAATTCGCCAATTACTCCTCATGCTTCCGGACCCCCTCGGTCAGACTTGCTAATAGCTCTTCCGCACGTCGGAATTCCGCCTCGCACTTACTCTCAATCTCTGAAACCTTGCGACGAAGATCTTCTTCCGCCGTCTTCGCCTCTACAATTTTGCCCCGAAGTTCTTCGGCGATGCAAACTTTTTCGGCTCTTCGGACCTCCAATGCAGCAAGTTCCTCTATATGTTTCTTCTCTCGCTTCTCTGCAGTGGTGATTAGTTGCTCCGATTGCTTTACTGCCTCATCATATGCTTCCCTATATTTCTCCAACCTCGCGAGTAAATCCACAGTCATCTTCTGCCCGTTCTCGTTAGACTTGCGAAGTCCACCACATGTCTCCTCCAACTCTGCACATCGTCTAGATTCCTTCTCCAGATTCAATTGCAGCATTTCGCACTCAATTTCCTTCTCTCAAAGCTAGGCTTCTCGCTCCTGCAATGTCACCTTCACTTCCGTGCACTCAGTTGTCAAGTTTGTCGCTCGCTCCCGTGCCAATTCAGTCGCGGAATCCCACTCCCTCCTTACTATCAGTGCTCTCTTGAGCTGCATTCTGTTTCTTAACATCTCCACGTAAAATCCTACCTCCTTGGATATAGCATACTTCTCTCTCTTCCCATCCAGATACTTAAGTAATGGGACAACACTATCCTGCAAGAAATCAGGGAAAGAAACGACTAACTCCTTCGATTCCTCCTGCGAAGTCTTCGTCTCTTTTGCAGGCCTCACTTCTTCTGTAGGAGATGACGGCAGTGCACTGTCTGGGGCATCTACCACCGTCCCTCCAATCTGTGCAACAATCTGTTCCAGTACTTCGTCGCTTAACGTCACCTCCTTTACCAATTCCTCGTTCATCTTTGGATGTGGTATTCCTTCACTTCCCGTAGTCTGTCTCCGCTCCGAAGACAGAGAATTCAAACTAACTATCTCTATTCCCTCCTTGGAAGGTTCCGTCAGTGCTTTTGCTAGAACTTTGATCAATACCCCCAAAGATCCTTCCCTCTCTACAGGCTGTGCTGACTTGCCCGTTGCGACTTCGGGTGCACTCACAATCGGGGCAACTGTCTTTTCTACGCTGCTGTCTGATACTTCTGCTGCCCCTAACGCCCGATTTGCCCTCTTCTTTGGTCTTGCGCGAGTTCTCGACTGCCTGATCACATCTACTTCCGTTTCCGTTCTCCTTACTTCAAGTGCCAAATCTCCCTCGTCATCGCTCACTACTCTTCTTCTCTTCGCCATTCGTCTCTCCGGCTTTTCCCGTCTCCGCACAACCTCAACCTGAACTGGTCCTCGGGCTGTCGTCTGTGCTGGAATGGAGGGTCGACGGGTATCGTCCTCTGTCCCTTCGTTGGACTCGGCCGTCAAGATTTCCCTCTCCTTTGGAAATCGCTTCTACTCCTCTCTCGTAAGCAACCCCATGCCTCGGTAGAAAATCACCAACAAGGGAGTGAGATGATTGACCAATGGTCCTGTCCACCGATCGGATGCATTCACTCAAACAAGATCGTGAAAGATCCGTGCCCAGTGTACTCCTTGTCCCCTCAAGATTCGCTCAAGGAACCCTACCTGTTAGGCCGTCACATACGTCGTACGCGCTGGTCGCAAGATGTGCATAATTCCCGGGGTTATCGTCCTTCTCTTCGGATCTATGTAATCTGTTGTCTTCAACCCGTTCGTTCCTTGTCTCCCAGAACTGAAGAGTGGTCCGTAAGAGAATTCTTTGGTGCGTGTAAGTCCCACGCTACTCTTCTCAAACAAAAGGTCTCTGTCGCTACCTGCGCACGATCCCATCACCTTTGTCCAATGCTCAACTGTCCAGAGCATGGGATTACCTCGAAGCTCCATGCCCTCGGTCTGGTTCTTATCGATTTTTTCTTGTAGATACTCGCCGAAACGCAATTCCAATTCCAAAAGAGGAATTCAAGTCGCAACTCGCTCAGCTCGCGTCTAAAGGGTCGCAATTCTTCGTATGGCACCTTCACGAGAACCAATTTCTGTACCTTGTCACTCTTCTTTGGCCCCATGACTTCAATTTGCGTCTTCGCTGCTAGCAAGATCGGTCGATTTTGCTCTTTCTCTCGCTCGCTCGTTCTTGCTCGATATCGCAATGTTGGCGCGAGGACTCCTCCTACTGCCCTTACCCTTGAAGCCCTAACATTATCTCCTCACGCGCCCACTAGAATTCCCGACGCGTGCGAACATCTTCCGGCCCGTTGTGTGATTCAAAATTGAATTCTATGTTTTCGCTGAAGACGTAGCTCTTGCAAGGTCCAGAAGAGGCTGCGCTGAAGATCCGAAGATCTTCGGACGTAGACAAATTCTAACTTATCTTGTCATAACTCCTCAAAATCTACTCATTTTAACTTCGTACAATTACTTTCTAGATAAATATCTTTTAGTTTTGTTGATTTTTAAAGAAAAACGAAAAAACTAGACACCACAGGCACAAAAGAATTTTTTTGCCTATTTCTTTAAAATAATTTTCTATTCAATTATCTAACTTGAGTAGTATTAAAACCTATTCTCCAATAAATGATCATATGGATTTAACATATGAAGGTTGTATCAATATCTTAATGAAGTGAATGATGTTTTTCACACTTGTCAATATGTATAGAACATCATGTGAATTTTCACATAAGCAATTATCTCAATTTAACATGTAAAATCATTCAAAATTCAATTTTTTTTCAAATCAAATAACTTCAATTCAACAGGATGATCATTTCGTACAACACGATGATCATTTGATACATTGTCACAAAAATAATTTAATGTTGATCAGTAAGATTTTACTTGTGTTGTTTTTTTGAATGGTTAAGGTTCGAACAAAGTGATAAACATTTCATTGCTTACATTCATCACTTTTGTCCAACTTAGGTGATACACGAATCACTTGTTGTGACTTTTACATCTTGAATAGCAACCGTGTAAGAATGAAACATGTAGAATTCTATGTGTGTGTTTCGAGAGATGTTTCAAATGCTCAAAACAAGAAAAGTAGTTATTTCTTGGTCTTTGAACCCAAACTTGAGACAAGGAGTTTTAGAAGAACTTTTCAGAGATTTCAAATCACCACTCACTTTAGTCATTTGTACATCTTAGTCATAAATACTCTATTGAGAAGAACTTTGTTCTAGCCATATTTGTTAAAACATCATGATCTCAAGAGAAAAAATTGTTACAACGTCTCATCTCTCTCGCCTGATCATTGTAATTTCGAGAAATGTGACCATCAATATTTCGTCTCCTTGCGGTTTAAATCTAGAAGACTAAAAATTCATACATTTTCTCCTAAGGAGATCGCAACTTCTGTTGAAGGCATGAGACAGTACTGCTTAGTTGGAGTAACATTCGAGGAAGATCGATCATGAAAACTAAAGTGACAGCTGAACGAACTATGCAACTGCACAATCCTCAGTTCAGGCAAAATATGGTTGCTGTGACCAACCTTTTTTGTTCGTACTCTGAAATTAACGTATGATACAGATACATCACTAACTTGCGACTTGGACTGCCACGTACCTTCCACATGCCGTGTATCTGCAATCATCTGGAACATGTCCAGAATAGAGAACCTAACTTACAGGAAAGAAGTGCAAAGAGCACACGAACAAACACGACTGCGTCGCTTCCTCCGCCCTCCTCATCCGCTGATTGGTGGGTTCTCAGTCTTAAACATTTGCGAAAATGCGTTTTGTGGAACAGCTAAGGAAGCAAGTAGTAGTCCTAAGCTCTTACTGGAAACCTATAATTCATGGTAGGAAGATGGCGAACCAGGTCAACCATACCTCACAAACAGAAGCAAATTGACCTCCGGATTTGCTTGAACATATTGGTTCGATACTTGTAAGTAAAATTAGAAAGAAAGTCCTGGAATCCTTCAGCGCTATGGCAACTTTAACCGCTGCTCATCCCACAAATAACCATGAAGAAAACAAGAATTCTAATTGAACGTCTCCATTCCAGACTACAATATGCTTGCAGATGAAGTATAATGAAGAAGAGTCGTTCCAGATTCTTCAGATACCACATCATCCAAGATGGAAAAGGAGCATCAATTTGATTGCACTTTTGAGTATCTGCAAGATCACTAAGTGATTCACAAGTTGATAATGCCTGACCTTGATCTGCATCACCTTCATTCATTTCAATGACGTGGTCAAAAATATCTTTCAACCGACTAGGTAGGTATAAAGCATTAGGGTCGGTGAAAACTAGTCAACACTTACGCTGCTTTCAGGTGAAAATTTCAAACTCAGCTAATATCTACACGGCTGCACTTGACAAAAGGATAAGACAAGCCAGAGTGAACTTCATCAGGATGCCCTTTTCAGGATATACAAAGGGACTAAGGTGATTAACAACGTCCTCACTAAGTGAACCGCTGGTCCTAGCTGAAAGTGAAACTTTGTTGCGATCAGAATACATTCCGAAACTTTGAAAGACCAGAGCAAAGTCTCCCTGAAAAGGCCTGACGCCTCCTGAATGGTCTCCAGAGATAGAGAAGTACCCACTAAGGGAGCACATATATCTGATATAGACCGCCCAAGTGTTACTCACAATACCAATTCACATTAAATTCCCAAATGGTAAATAACGCGCAGCTCATCCACAAAATAAAAAATCAAGGTCGACACTACATACCCAAATCTTTTGTTAAAACACGAAGTGTGTACTTCTCTGTGTGTACTTTCCTCAAATTCCCTGTACATGAACCCTTGATAAAGACTTCGCTAGAGACCAAAATAATACTGTTATACATCACAATATGTGAATGACTGAATCATGTGAACTTTCTGCTAACATAACTTCGCTATCTAGAATATGTGCTCTACAAAATTATTTTAAATGAAGATGATGAAGTCTAGGCACTATCTCACATTTTTTGTGCTAGTTATGTCGTCTTTGCTCAATCGAGGGGGAATAGACAGGCCTGGTGCAAGTTTGTTAATTGGATCATCGGGACCTGTTGCCAGAAATTTCCGGCAAGCATAGAACACTGCAGAATGAAAGTCACGGGCATTGTCCATGAACACGAAGTGTCCTCCCTGTAAAAAACACGATATTGATTAGCACAGAGTGATTTTAAAAAATAAAGGTTTCTTAGCTTATATGCCCAACCATTCATAACAACAACGTGATCATCAGGGCGTCTGTATCCTTTCTTCCGCGAGAGGACTAACATTCAGCTCTAGGTGCTTTTCGTTAACGTAGAAGATATAAACGTATTATATATGGCCAGCCTTCTATAAAAGATCTCTATTCATTCAGAGAATGACCAAATTTCTTTTGTGAACAAGGAGGCCGAATGGCAGCATGATATCTATCTCGTTGATTCTTGCACGTTACTTGCACGTTGATGTGGATCACATGTAGCTGGTAAATAGCTGTCAAACCTGAGGTACACGGATTATTTCCGTGGGGACGTTCATCAGCTCGGAAGCCTTTTGGGCTCCCTTCCAGTCCATCCAATCTTCCGTTCCATAGATAAAAGATGTTGGCACCTTCCAGTCTGGAGCACTGGAATACAGTAGATAGATCCGTAATTCAGGAGGTTAAAAATCAAAACTGAAGAGGATTCTCATACTTGTATACGTCAACTACAATAACCAGGACTGATATAGGCAATGGCAGCGTGCTGCAACCAAAGGCATGAAAACGATGAAACAAAAAAATACACTGTTGTCTTCTGCACTTTCCCTACTGAGCGCGCATCTTCCAATCAGAAGAACTGAAGTTCAACTCTAATGGCTTGTTACCTCTGTGTTAAAGGTAAACGAGCAGCAGCCCCAAACGCAAAAATGTATTTAAGGCAATACTCCCCACTTGGTCTTGCAGCCAAAGTGTGAAATATATAATCTGCGTACCCCACAAAACACGTTGTTGTTTAAACCAATAGTTGTCAATAACTGGAAGAGACTAAACCCCTTGTCAACTACACTAATGGCTTGAACGGGCTATATAAAATGTGCCGGACAAGTACAATATATAATCGAATAATTGTTCATAAAAATGATGCTGCAAAAAACTGTACCACTCGTGCCAAACTGGTTACACTCACTTCCACTATTTTGCTAGCAAAGCAGCTAATTTTCTCACTCAGCTAGTTCAGCCTGCCCGTCTAGATTTCGTTACAACGGGTAGGCTGAACTTTGAGTACCTCTCAAGCAAGGGGAATAACGGGCAAATAGGTCTCTTAAGTACAGACCTGATAAAAGTTTGGATTCGTTATCATCCAGAACTGTCCCCACAGCTCGAGTACCAAACCTTGCCCCTGTATAGCCTCGTACAATTTGTGGGCCCCAAGGACCAATGAATCTGTAGGAAATATCAAGTGTTTTCAGCTTCTCAAGTTTGACCACAGCAATCGAAAATCTCATTATGACAAACAAAATTAGACTCCCAGGCAAACTCGAAGGAAGACCTATCGAACTTGAGAAAACTCACCTTACAAACTTCTGTGGGGTGACGTTAGACTCCCATAGATAGTTGATAAATGCTCCCTTCCACGTAGACCGGAACTCCAAAACTCTTTGATCCAACTCTGACGAAAACCCAGCCGAACCTACCAGTATGAGGTGCTCCACATTCTCAGGGTGCTGTCCCGGAATGCAAACCATACCAATCTTCGTTAGCAAACTAGACAGAGTGATGAAGCTTTCTTTGCAAGGAACTTTTCTTGAAAATCATGACCAATACCTTAAGTGCATAGCGAGCGGCCACATATCCTCCTAGAGAATGTCCGAGCAGAATGAACTTTCCCAGTTTCATTTCCTTCCGCCATTCTTCCAGCGAGTCAACAAACCACGATTCGGTTTCTGTAACGAAACCGACAAAATAAGCAAATGAACAACAGAATCATGAAGAGAAAATCAACCAGACCATTTAAATAGCAGAACTTCAAAATTGATAACCCTACGAAGCCCAGTCTTAGAGACAAAAGTACAACAAACTCACGATCTATTGACGAATCTGCTTTCACAAGCCGACGTAGCAAACGTATAGTCAGAAATGAAACTTACCCTCCGTACTTTTGCAGGTAAAATCTGGTCGACTAGATGCGCCCCATCTGAGCCGTTTAACAATGACAAAAGCCGTTCCAACACCAATCAAAATGCTGGACTGTATCAAAACTACCTTATATCTAAGGATAGAAGACCCCAGCAACAATCACCTTCTTAATAGCTAAACCCTCTTAATGTATTTCTACATTCATCTTAAAACCTATAATACTAAGACACAGATGAACAAGATACTGAAATTCGAACCTGAAGCCCAAATCTTGGGAGGTACATTCAAACTGATAATTACAAACTCAAGGATATAAACCTTACCCAATTTGGTCAATAGCGTGAACTCTAAACTTCTCAGCAAGGGCATCAAAATTTCTGAAGAAAAATCCTTGAGCAGCCCCATATCCATGCACCATCACGAGAGTTGGTGTATCCGGTGCTCCCTTGTCAAACGTAACAGTATTAATAAAGCGATCTTCACTGCTTTGAGATCTAAACCAATGCACACGCGCACCAGGGGCTCCACTTCCAATATTGACCTGTTGTTGTATATATGGAGTTCTGGATACAAGAAACATCACCATTAGTGCTCGATTCTCACTCCACATTCGAATCAAAAAATATATGGGCGACGTCCGTAACGAGCAATGCATCACAGCATGCAGAAAGCCTCTCACCACAGTCCCAAAACAAGGAAAACGCTCATATTTGTAGGTCAAAGAGCGCTAGGATAGAGTTCACAATTTGCTTCGTGTTTCTAAAAAGCTGGATTTCGCATAATTCTTCATAAACCCAACTTAATACGATCAACCGTACAACTGGAAGTCGACGATTTCGTTTCGAAAGTCTTTCAACATAGTAAGAGTGTAAAAAAACGCTCTCGCTCCCTTTCGTCAATTCACAGTCTTCTCGGAGTCTTGGTCTAAATTTGGGGCCTTAACGGTTAAACTGTACTTCTATATTTCAATGAGAGAACCATGCTTCTATATATTTCAAGAGAACCAACGAAAAAATTAAGTGAAAATATAAATTTCTCCGACATAGCAAATGTCTCGAGGGGCCATTTGAATCCAGTGTGAAATAACAGAATGTGCAGTTGAGAGTTTTATCCTACGAGTTTTAAGCCAGCAAATAAGAGTAAATCAGATCTACACATGTATTTCGATAAGCAGGTATAAGCATGACTTTTCCCGCAGAGACCACACGTTTAGAAAAAGTAACTGAAGGGAGCAGGACCAGCACCCACTATCCCGAGCATAATGTAAGGAGCGAATCAAGTTACAAGAGTGACTTGGCCGCCAATTGCAAGGCTTTTTCACATGGATTCAGATTGGCACTTCTTCCTCGAAACTGGATTCACTTCTTCAGAATCAGTCAAATTCAGAGGCCTGTAGTACAAGCTGCAGAGGACGGAAAAAGAGACGAAAGAATTCAGAATCATGAGTATTGTGACTGATAAGAAGGGGCATACTTGACCAAGGAAGTGAGCAGGCGTTTCTCAGACTGAACTGTATCTTCTTTAGATGTCGGACTCCATCTCAAACATTGCCTCCACGCATTCAACCATGACTTAGAATTCGCGTCCGCACTCAGTTCGGCTGCAGTATGCTGCAAAGAATTCTTCTCCGCCATCCTTTTCAACACTGCTCGTCGCATAACCAACACGCTCTGCGATTTCCTTCCTCGAATTCTAATTGTGCAGATCAGAGCAATCCGTAGAATCCAATGCTTCTAATACTCTTCCTCGCTAGGCTGATCCTTTCCTAGCAGCAGACCCGAGCTTTCGGCCTAGGTTCTTGAATTTCCGTCAAAAGAACGGATGTGTCACACGATCCTCACCAGCTGCCTAAATCCTCCTCCATATTTTAAGTTCGTCCTGCCAATCCGCAATGAACACCTACAAATAACTCGTTCTCTCGCCCGACGAATCCAAATCCGACCAATAATGCGAAGACTTCGACCTCACAAAACTCGCAAATCGAAAACCCCCCTACTACCACACTTGTCCCTGTGAGTGTGTGTTCGAGTTACGAAAAGAGGTGGCTAGCTTTTATTGACCTTGTGGCACGAAATCAAGCGGCTTCGACTTCCCCGAGTCTCCGACTACCGTAGCAACGAAGACACCGTAGAAGGAGGACACGGAAGCCTCGGCAGGAAGGCTGAATTCCGGAAGTTTTGAACCTGCCTCGCTTGCTTCCTTCAGCTCCGGAACGACCCGTCGGCAGAGCTCATGTTTTCCACGTGTCATTCAGATTCCCCTCCGTATGTCCTCTGCGGACTGAAGGAGATTCACCGCAAGAGGACGATTCGGGGTCCGGCAGACCTCTGCACGGGAAGGCCGATTGACTTCGTCCCGTCGCGTGATTCCGCATAGGCCAGACGAAATTATTGGATATGCCCAAAGAATTTCTGCGATGAATCCCGCGCAAATGTCGCCTCGGAATCAGGCGCTTTGTGCTGACCCAGAATAGCTATTTTGGATTTTGCAGTGTCGGAAGATTTTCGCGTGAGGGGCCTGCCCTTGGCACGACTGGATGCAAGGCCGCGAGGAAGCAGCCTCGTGGTTTTCGTCCAGCCTCGCACTCGGCGACCGTGTGGTCCGCTGTGGACTGAGGCTCGTTTGCGGTCATGCTGTTCACACCCAGCACCACATACTTGACAACCGCGGTCATTTTGGAGCTACCAAGTACATGTATAAGTCTATCAACCAACGGAGTTCAACAAAAACCCAAATGCAAGATTTGTTGCTTCAAGACAAATTCTTCCCCATAATTTGCTCGCTACTTTGTGAATGAAGTCATCTTTTAAGTTTGAATGCTTAGATCAACTTCCTTTCTATATCTTTTGCGCACATTTTGAAGTTTATTTGTTTTGTAACAGATTTTCCATTGACTATTTTTTTCAAAGCTCCACCTCAGCCCAAAATTTAAGTAGAAGGAATTTAGCCATATGTGAGAATGGGTAGAATTGATCGATGGGAAAAGAATCCGGTGATGATTATTCAACAGTGAAGAAAAAAAATGGATCCAATTAAGAAACTGTATTAGATCATATCATTCCTATACTGAAATAACAAACTGTATTTCATACATTCTGGATAATTAGTAACCCTTACTTTTCCTCATACACATAATATATCAGTACTATACAATACTCTTGTGTCTACATATTGTGTTAGCGAAATGATGTCAAGTTCAATTGTATGTACTAGTGTAGATTGCAAGTACAAATGGAGATTTGCTTCTATGTAACCTTCAAATGTGTAGATTTGAACATGGAAGTAGATCCAAAATTCAATGTATTGAACAACTAGATAATGAGCTAAATTCACAATAATCAATGCATCTTCTTAAAAAAATTTATATAAAGATTATCAAGAAAAGTCACTTGTTTAGGGTACATGCAAAAGCTAACAAGCACTCTAACTATGCATGATGCAAGGTTCAATGTACATTAACATATTGCAAGTAGGAAGAATCAACAAGCGTGAAATTTTCTAATAAAATGTATTTTAGAAAAAAGTATTTGTTCAAAATTTAAATTATATCTTTGCTCTTTTAAATCAAAATAATGATCTTTGATATTTTTGAAGTCTGTTTCATTCATTGACTTTAATCATCCATTTATGAACACAATAAATAAATTTTTAATCATGTGATAAATCATGTCATGAACCAATAACACCTTGTATTAATGACAAGTTAATATGTATTTAATTGATATCAATTAAATATGTAAAATGAAAATATGATCTATGAATCATGAAACATTTTCATAATTCACTAACATGATTTTCTGAAATATAACAAGTTAAATCTCTTAAAAAAATTATTTATTTATTTATAATTGAAAATTGGTATTTTTAGATTCACTTTTGTTCAATCCGATGTTCACAAATTTACAAAATATCTATAATCAAACATCACATAATAAAAAATTTACAACCTAAGTGTCATGTGATTGTTATTAGTTATAACAATTACATCGTACAGAAAATTCATAAGATATGGTATTGCTATGAACTCAATATATATTTTATCATATTTTGATAACAACAATCAATCATATAGAAAAGCATGTTCTAATTTAAATCACAAAGATTTAGAAAATTTAGGAAAAAATAAATCCATAAATCATGATTTATTATGATTAGATTGTTATAAATGGATAACCATTTCAGAAAATAATATTAATATGTAATCATAAAAAATATTGAAAAGATTTCACTATCAAAATTTATTGATACCAATCAGGTTTAGCTTCTTTACAATCAAAAGAATAAATTTTCTATGTTTATAATGTGATAATCTTTGACATTAAATCTAGTTCAAACTTCAACTTATAGATTCATGAAATACAATATCATATAGTAGATTCAATCTAGTTTTTAATTTTTATATTTTTTTTCACATACACTTTTCAATTAATCATTGAATAAACTTAAAATTTGATTCTAAGTGCTAAATTTTGTATATATTATTGACTCAACATTTTTATCTTATCATATGCATTATTACATATGTCATTATAGTTGATTAAATATTATATCATCATGAAAATTTTTCATACTTGTTGATCATTTTGCTTGTAATAATACTTATATAAACATCTCTTATTTTCAAAAAATTGAACTAAAATCAATAATTTGTAGGGCTTAACTAAAACTCATGACTTAGACTACTCATATTTAGAATAATTGCTGCATATGAGTTGTGTAGCTATACATTGACATAATTAAGGTTCTTATTGTACAGATAGGTTATTCTAAGCCATATTCAAACTTCAAATTCATTTGTGTATGAGCACTTTAAGAGACAGAGAGTTGTACTCACGGGGGTTATGAAGTTGGAGTGGGGCTTCTTGGTTATACTTTCTACTTGAACATGATGATAAAAAAATACATGGCATTTTCTAACAAGTGCAATTAAAGTAAATTGAATAGACCTCAAACAAATTTACTAAAATGTTCATGATTTTGTGATAATGAGCTCGCATTTTGGTTTTGACATATGATGTACTGTGTTTTTTAGAAGATTTCATTGAATTCAAATTGTAGTTCTTGCAATTGCAATCATTTTGAAACAAATTTTGTTGAAAACAAAATTATGAGTAAAACCTTATGGATATTTGAAATTTTTAAAAATATTTAAATTTTTGGAAGTGTAATGATGTAAGTTGACATGAAAGTTCAGTTGAACATTTAGATCAATCAATTTTCAATTTTGTTCTTGATATCTAAACTGTTAGACATAAATACTTGGGATAAAATTTATGAGAAATAGCTAAACCCGTATTTGATTTGGTAGCAATCATGTAATCATATTTAGTTAGTATTAATTAAAGAAGAGTTTACTCAAGATGAAGTTATAGTTACTTTAGCGTGCACTTGTTGCAACTGCCATGTCAACAATTCGCATATTTGATAGTTAGATAGTAAGTGTGTTAGTTGACAACGTCACGTTAGCAATATGTGTGCTTGTTAGATAAGGATTGAGTGTTAGTTGAGAACGTTTCGTCAGCAATCCGTGTGGTTGTTTAAAGTATCTATCACGTCATTCATCCACTATGATTGAAATGTATGGTGGGGATGAGATATTTTCTCTTTCTAGTTGTTGATATAGGCTATATAAGAAAGAAAAAAACATAGTTGATATCTCTCATATTTAAAATTTATATTTGCATCTTCTAATGAACTTTTCTCTAAACCCTAGTATTACATTAGGCTTCAAGTCAAATTGTAACAAAGAAATTACAAATGATCAATATTTGTTTAGCTTCAAGTTGATGGCTATAATCACTAAGACATTCAAGCAACATTTTTATCACAAATATTTAAAATAAAAAAGTAAAATAAATTTCATTTTGAATAATACAAAGAATTTTTTAATTGGATTTCAAAATTGTTAAATTTTGTCGAACCAATAAAAGTTATACAAAAATTGCATCTTTGAAAGAGTTTGAAGCACTTGATGAATCATCATTAAGCAAATTCTAAGTCTCACACCCTTAAGAGCTTGTTTACACATTGAGCAACATATATTACACTCTATGAAGTGTGTAAAATGATCTTCTAGTCACAAAAGTCTTATCAAGAAGTCAAAATATTATATCAAAGTTTTTGATAACATGGATAACATGAGAGCTAGCATCAACTACAAACAACATCCAACAACCAATCAAGGAATATATAACTCGTAGACGGTCACAAAATCAAGAGCACAAAAATAATAATAAAAAGGATGAATCTAAATGTAGATGTAAATATAAAAACAACTTTCAAGATAAAATTACAATTACATGTTGGAGTTATGGCAAGAAATATTACATGGTACAATAAAATGATTAATTATTATATTTGATAGACAAATTTCAAAGCAAGTTGATAGCAACTATGTTACCAGTTAGTTTTTTGGCTTTGAAAATTTATGTGACATGTAGACAGTAACATGATCAAGACCACAGAATTCATGGCAAGAAAAATAAATCCAGATATAGATTTAGATCTAAAGACATGTTTCAAGATAAAAAAACAATTACATGTTGGAATGGTGGCAAAAAAATCAGATGAAGCAAGATTGCAAATTCAAGTCATAGACAAGTGAATTTTCATCAGCAAATATGAAAACTTTTAATCTTAATGAAAACTAATCTATGAATGATTTTACTTTATGATGGCATGATTGTGTCTTTGCATATTATAAATTCTATTTGATGATTACTAGATTTTTTATAGCACATGATACTATCAGATTTATAACATTTTAGAGTTGTTTGGTTTATTTTTTACATCAAATGTATCAATTTTCATGAAAAACAATCAACTTTGTCATATTAAAACAATTGCATCTTTAAAGATTCAATCCTTTAACTATTTTCATCAAACATATCGAATCTTTAAATATTCATATATTCAATGAGGTCATATAGAATTGAATGTTGGGTTTATACCTAATGTAAGGAAGAAATTGATTTTATCAAAAATGTTGAAAGTAACTTGTTTGAAATGCTACTTGAAGTTTATTTGAAGTAAAGAGTGTTCGATTAACTATTATCGGTGTTCACAAGCATCAAAACATGCATAAAAATCTATATATGCTTGAAAGCACTATTATTATTAAAGAGGTGCATGCTATTTTGTTGTGGAAAAGATGATTAACGCGTGGCATTTATGAGGGTACATGGAGATGCTATTTAAAAAATATGTATTCCCCAACATAAATTAAGATGATTTGACTCTTGTGAACATTGTAATGTGGAGAAGCAACAAAAAAAATTATTTGAAGTTGAATTATATAAATCAACCAAATTTTCTACCTATATACACAATGATGTGTGGAGACACTCTTCTACAACCTCACTTTTTGGCAAAATATTCTATGTGTATTCCATAAATAATTCTTCAAGATTTACATGGATATACTTTTTCACAAAAAAATCTGAGGCTTTTGATTCGTTTAAGAGTTGAAAAAACCGACTGGAGATTTAT